TTCCTGCTTCAGCCCAAACCCTGGGAGGCAGGTTTAGAAGGCATTCATCAAAGACTTTGCAACTTAGTGCAAAGACCCCGCAGATAATCATAACTCTTGGGTCCCTCTCCCTCACCCTAGTTTCTGTCATTTCCACTGCATCTTGGACTGACTTGACTTGTTTCCACTAAGAATTTGTCCAGCCCAGCAGCCCAGGGGCCAGGCCAGCTGCCATTTGTGGGAAACTCGGTTTCTTGCTCCCCCTGCTGGCAGAACTGGAGATGACTCAATGTTGGGAGCAGAGCTGGAGAAAGCAACCCACCTGCTGCTTCCCCTGGGGCAGACACTTCTCATCCCAAACAAGGGGATTAAGAGCTCAGTCCCAGTCCCCTCCTCCACTTCCCCCCAACACTATACCCGCTTTAGAACCTTAGCTAGAAATAGGAAGATAAAAGCCTAACTAGGTACTGGGATGCAAATTAAATTCTTCCTGTTTCCAAATCACTTCCTTTTCTGCCCCAAACCCACTCTTGATCTCCTTGACCATGAAGACTTAATTTGGTTATTTATACCTATCTCCAAAAACACTCTCTCCCAATCTCAGTCTCCCAGAGCAGCATTTTGCTGATATCAGTTGGCCTCTCTTCTCCTCATGTACCTGGAAGCCATGGTCTGTGCTGGAAAGAGCACAGGGCTGGGAGTTGAGGAACCTAGGTTTGAGTCTTGTTTCTGCCACTGATTCAGAGTGTCACCTTGGAAGAGTCACTTTCTTTTTTCCAAGGAGCAGTTCTCTCGCTTGTTACATTGGACTGGCCTCCAAAAAACTTTGAACTCTAGTGTTCTAGGCTATGCTTTCAGTTCTTCACATGCATCAAGCTCTATCCTGCCCCAGGATCTTTGGTCATGTGCTTCCCTCTGCCTGAAATGCTCTTCCCTTCCCTTTTTTTGTTTAGTTAACTCCTCCTTACCCTTCAGCTGTCAGCTCATCTGCTACTTACTCAGAGAAAACTTTCCCGGGTCTGCCCTGGCTGGTGTGGGTCAGTGGATTGAGCACCGACTTGTGAACTAAAGAGTCACTGGTTCGATTCCCAGTCAGGGCACATGCCTGGGTTGTGGGCTGGGTCTCCAGTAGTGGGTGTGTGAGGCAAGCACACATTGATGTTTCTCTCCCTCTCTTTCTCCCTCCTTTCTCCTCTCTCAAAATAAATAAATAAATAAATAAATAAAGTCTTTTAAAAAAAGCTTTCCCAGGCTCTCCAGACTGGGTCAGGTACCTCATCATATGCTCTCGGCACTCCCTGGAATTTTCCCTGTGTGTCCTCATCATGGCTTGCAGTTTTTCATATGCTTGTGTGATTATTGTTTCAAGTCACGCCCCCTCCACCATAAACTCTTTGATAGCAAGGACCTGTCTGTTTTGCTCACCACTGTACCACAGCACCCAGATCCTTGCCTGACCGTCTTGTAAAGCTCAACACATATTTATTAAACAAAGGAATAAGTAAATAGCTGAACAAATCCCTCCCTTCATCTATCAGCTGCTCTCTATATCTAACTAGTGGAGTATTGAAGAGCAAAAAGTCAAAAGCCAGACTGCCAGGGTTTGGACCCCAGTTTTACCACTCATAAACTGTGGAAGCTTGTGCAACTTGCTCACTCTTTTTGTGCCTCAGTTTCCTTATCTATAAAGGGAGGATAATAATAATATACACTACCTAACAAGGTTGTTCTGAGGATTAAAAGACTTAATATCTGCACAGTGTGTACAACGAGGCCTAGCATTCAAGTGCTATATTGGTAATAGCTATTGTTCTTATTCTACTGCATCCATCTCTCCATTTACCCATTCTGAACTCTCCCACAAGACCTCATTATCTTATTTCCAGCCTGTGAGTGGGTGACTCAGTGTAATTTGCAGAATAGATAGCAAGGGTTTTTTTAAAAGAATTTTTTTATAATGGAAAATTTTAAACATGCAGGGAAGTAGAGAGAAGAGGATAATGAACCTCTGTAACAAGCTTCAACAATTATCAATATTTTGCCAATCTATGTTCATCTGCTCCCCTCTCATTTTTCTCCTTACTGGAGTATTTTGATGTAAATCTCAGATGTCATATAATTTTGCCTGAAAATACTCCATTATGTATCTCTAGCAGATAAGGACTTTAAAAAATACAACAATGCCATTATCACATTTAAAAAATTAACAATAATTAGGGAAGGCTTTTAAAACCCCGTTCCCTTGAGAGAAACCGGGGGAATGAGAGCCCTCATTTCAGAGTAGATGTGAAATGGGGAACAGGCAAGAGAGTTAATATAACTAAAAGTGCTTTGAACAGGGCCTGACAACATAAATGGGATAAATTGGGTTGGCCAAAAAGTCCATTTGGTTTTTTCTATAGGATGGGTCTACTTATCTTTTAACTTCATTCAAAACAATTTTGTTAGCTTGCATTGGACAGCTGTCATATCAGTGTGCATTTTAAAAAACGTATCAAAATTAGTCAATTTTTGTGTAGCCATTTTAATATTGAAGATGAAAGAAAATACACAACATTTTTTTGGCATGTTGTGCTTCATTATTTCAAGAAAGATAAAAATACAACTGAAATGCAAAAAAAAAGAGATTTGTGCAGTGTATGGAGATGCTGTGACTGATCAAACATGTCAAAAGTGGTTTGAGGAGTTTGTGCTGGAGATCGCTCTCTGGATGATGCTCCACTGTTGGGTAGACCACTTGAAGTTGACAGCAATCAAATCAAAATACTAATTGAGAACAATCAATATTCTACCATGCAGGAGATAGCCGACATACTCAAAATATCCAAATCAATAGTTATTGGTGAAAATTAAAATGTTTTTTATCTTACAGAAAAAAATCCGTATGGACTTTTGGACCAACCCAATAGTAGTAACTATTATTTTGATTCTCTTTCATTTCCCCATTTATCCACTCTAAATCCTTCCCAACTTCTCTCTTATTTCTGGTCTGTGAATGTGTGTGACCATTTACAAAGGAGGACTAGATGGTGAGTTTCCTGGGTCACTGGCACTGTGGGGTGGAAGCCAGGACTCCAGAAGGCACCGAAAAGGGCAATGACTGAAGGGCTGAGGAGGAGGAAAAGAGAGCTGGAGGATTTAAACAAGGAGGAGTGCTGTGGTGGTGTGAAAATGGCACCTGAGAAAAAATCCAATAGCCTAAGAGCAGGAAAGCGGAGGGGTTCCATTTCTTCCCAGTGATTGGGCCTTTGGAGATCATTGCCAGTTAGGAAGGAGGAAGGTGGCAGCCCCACTCTTGAGGGAGTCCCTTTTAGCTTTTCTCTATAGACCACAGAAGACAGCTGCCTAAGACAATAATCGGGGTTCCACTTTGCTTCATCTTGAGTTCTCAACAGTTCCAAGTATATAAGTCATGATGGCAGACACTGAGCTAAAGTACAACTAGAGAATGCCTCCCTTACACTCAAGATGAAGATTATTGTGCTCCCATCTCTCTTTTCTTTTCTGTGGAATTCTCCCCACCAGCCCTTCTCACGACACTCATTCTTCAGGTACCAAGAGCACCCGCACACTCGACCCACCCCGAAACAAAATTGCCTCCAGGAAAAGAAGTGATTCAAAACACTTAGCAGGGTAAACAAACTCCTCCCAAGCTGGGTTCCAACTACCTCATCAACCTCGTTTCCCATCACTTCCCTTTTCTTTCCAGTGGGATACAGTGAATGAGCACAGATCTGTGTCCATACAAAGCTGATATTTAATTCTGACTCTGCCATTTCCCAGTTCTGGAAACTTAGGCAAAGCCACTGTATTTCTGAGCCTCAGCTTTCCTGTTGGGAAAAACGGGGATAATAGTAGTATATTAAAAGCCCTCTTAAGAAAGGACTTAAAGCCATATGAACATGACTTAAAGTCATATAAACCAGGAAAATAGCCTGTCTTCCCTGAGATTCCTTTCATACGCCTGAGGGTCCACTAAATTTACAAAAACCTTAAAATCCTCTGGACATATGGTACACATATGACTGGGCCATAGGTGAGTTTTCAAATACTGAATGTTAATTAGTGCCTTGAGGAATCATAATGTCCATGTTTTTACCACTATGTGAGCAAGGACAATTTTTGTTGTCTCACAACCTATTTGCATCTCCTAAGCAAATCATTAAGCTCAATCCCACCTTTCCCCAAGCCCTACACGCTCTGCCTTTGAAGATATGACTACATCTCAGCAGGAGCTTCTGAAGAAATGGTGATGACCATAATGATAGCATTACTTATTTCTTTTTTTGAAAAAAGATTTTGCTTATTTATTTTTAGCAGGGTAAACAAACTCCTTCCAAGCTGGGTTCCAACTACCCAGAGGGGAAGGGAGAGAGGGAGAGAAACATCCATGTGTGGTTGCCCCTTGGGCGCCCCCTACTGGGGGCCTCATGTGCAACCCAGGCTGTGCCCTGACTGGGAATTGAACAGGTGACCCTTTGGTTAGCAGGACGGCGCTGAATCCAGTGCCACACCAGCCAGGCAGCATTACTTATTTAAACGAGAGCTTTGGCTTGGTTCTTGAAATATGAGTTTTAAGTCACGGGGACTATGTCTCCCAGGGTGTTTGAATTGCATGCTCCAGTGCCAGGCAGTGGCGACCAGGGAAGGAATGCTGTTTGGGGTGCAGGTTGTGAAGGAGGTCTCTAGCGGCTACAAAAATAACTCGGATCGTATCACGCAGTCTACTTCACTCGCAAGGATAGCGTACACACACGCACACGCACGCACGCACACTGGGACTGTCCTCCGCACAGTTTCGATTTCACTGAAAACGCCGGTCAAAACAAGAGGACACACCCATCTCGCGCTACGGATCGCAGAAGGCCTCTTTTGCGCAAGTGCGCGTAGGCGCAGGCGCACGACCTTTGTGGGCAGGACTCAAGTGGTGACGCCAGAGCGTGGTGTTGCGGATTGACCAACCAGGAGGCCGACGGTTGGAGCTGCCCCTCCCTCCATGCGCACAGCGCTTGCGCAGGGCGGGAGCGAGCGAAATTCAATCTCCGGCGGAGATTCCTGGGACCTAACCCGAAAGTCATGGAGGCGTCCCAGGGGTTTGTGGAAGCCGAGGCTTTAAGCCCAGAGCAGGCTGCCCGTTACCTGAGGTATGTCTGGTCTCTGGGTGGGTCCAGCTCGGAGGCCCTGGTTGGGAGTCGAGGGGAGGGGGGACTCGGACCCTCCCAGGCGCCTAAAACTGCTGAGGTGGAGCAGAGTAAGGCGCAGGCACCTGCTCGGATTTATAAAGTCTGGGGAACCCTCCAGTATCCTCGTTTTGGGTCAGATAATTCACCGTTATGAACTCCTTAAGAACTAGAGCTTCAATTGATCAAGCTTTTCTTTTTCTTTTTCTTTTTAATATTCAGGACTGAATTTGCCAATTGGCAGATTAGATTAAATGTAGCTTTTCTTGAGTCTTTCCAGCCTCCGAAGCCCCAGGCCTAGGGAATACAGAGATAAGTAAATCATCATCCCTCCTCCCCAAACTGCTTACAGTTTTGTAGTGGAAAGGAATGGATAAGCTTATAATGATTAATAAGTGCTGTAAGAGGTATAATGTGCAAGGCATAGTATGAACATTAAAGGAGGGAATGGCGAACTACGAGGGTTGCTGAGCGAAAGGAAGGCCTCACAAGAGGAAGAGACACTTGTGTTGAAAAATAAGTTAAGTGTTCTCCAAGATGGCTAAGGATGGAGAGGGCATGGTGATGTGGGAATAAGCATTACAATTTTTAAAAATTGTGATAAAATCCACACAACATAAAATTTACCATCTTAGCCATTCTTAAGTGGTATTAACTACATTAACGTTGTGCAGCCGCCACCACTATCCATCTTGAGAACTCTTTTCATATTGCCCAGCTAAAACTCCATATCTATGAAACAACAGCCCCTTCCCCAGCCCCTGGCAACCATCATTCTACTTTGAATCTGTCTCTGTGAATCTGACTCTTTTAGGGACTTCATGTAAGAGGAATCACACAGTATTTGTTTTTCTGTGACTGGGTTATTGCATTTAGTATAATGTTCACAAGATTCATCCATGCTGTGTCATGTGACAGGATTTCCTTCCTTTCAGAATAATATTCCATTGTATGCATATATCACATTTTCTTTATCCATCGACGGACACTTGGGTTGCTTCCATCTCTTGACTATTGTGATAGTGCTGCTGTGAACACAGGTGTGCAAATAGTCTCTTCAAGATCCTGCTTTCAGTTTTTTTCAATATATACCCAGAAGTGGATTGCTGGATCATATGGTAATCCTATTTTTAATTTCTTGGGGAATTGCTATACTGTCCTCTAGAGTAGCTGCACCATTATATATTCCCACCAACAGTGCACAAAGGTTGCAGTTTCCCCACATCCTAGCTAACACTTATTACCTGTTTTGTTGTTGTTACTAGCCATTCTAATGATAGTGAAATGGTATCTCATTGGGGTTTTGATTTGCATTTGTCTAATAATTAATGATATTGAGAATCTTTATGTACCTATTGGCCATCTGCATGTCTTTGGAGAAGTGCCTGTTCAAGGCTTTTTTTAGTTGCGTAGTTTGTTGTTGCTGTTGTTGAGTTGTACTTTTTCTTTTCATTTATTGGTTTTATTTTTTTAGAGACAGGGAGAGATTGATTTGTTGTTCTGCTTATTGATGCATTCATTGGGTGATTCTTTTTGTAAAAAGATTTTATTTATTTTTAGAGAGAGGGGAAGGGAGGGAGAAGGAGAGGGAAACATCAATGTGTGGTTGCCCTTTGAGTACCCCCCACTGGGGACCTGGCCTGAAACCCAGGCATGTGCCCTGACTGGGAATTGAACCAGTGACCCTTTGGTTCGCAGGCTGGCACTCAATCCACAGAGCCACACCAGCCAGGGCCATTGGTTGATTTTTGTATGTGCTCTGACCAGGAATTGAACCCACAACCTTGGTGTGTCAGGACGACTCTCTAATCAATTGAGTACCCAGCCAGGGCTTGAGTTGTAGTTCTTTATATATTCTGGATATTAACCCCTTATCTGCTATATGATTTGCAGATATTTTATTCCATTTTGTAGGTTGCCTTTTCATTCTGTAATTGAGTCCTTTTTTAAAAAAGATTTTATTTATTTATTCTTAGAGGGGAAGGGATGGAGAAAGAAAGGTAGAGAAACACCAGTGTGTGGCTGTCCCCCACGTGGCCCCCACCAAGGACCTAGCCTGCAACTCAGGCACTCGCCCTGACTGGGAATCAAACCAGCGACCTTTCCGCTCACAGCCCTTGCTCAATCCACCGAGCCACACCAGCCAGGGTTGTGATTGAGTCCTTTGATGCACAAAAGTTTTTTTTTAAATTATGTTTTACTGATTATGCTATTACAGTTGTCCTGATTTTTCCCCCTTTGCCTCCCTCCACCCAGCACTGTCCCCCCACTCCTTCAGGCAATACCCCTCACTATTGTTCATGCCCATGGGTCATGTGGTAAGTTCTTTGGCTACACCATTTCCTATACTGTATTTTACACCCCCATGGCTATTCTGTTGCTATCTATTTGTACTTCTTAATCCCCTCACCTCTTCACCCATTCCCCCACATCCCCCTCCCATCTGGCAACCTTCAAAACACTCTATCCACGGTTCTGTCTCTGTTCTTGTTTGCTTTGTTTTTTAGATTCAGTTGTTGATAGATTTGTATGTTTTGCCATTTTATTGTTTATAGTTTTGACCTTCTTTTTCTTAAATAAGTCCCATTAAGCCCTGGCTGGTGTGGCTCAGTGCATTGAGTGCCAGCCTGTGAACTAAAGGGTTAGTGGGTCCTTTCCCAGTCAGGGCACACGCCTGGGTTGCAGGCCAGGTCAAGTCCAGTAGGGGGCATGAGAGACGCAAACACACATTGATCTTTCTCTTCCTCTCTTCCCCCCTCCCTTCCCCTCTGTCTAGAATAAATAAATAAAATTGTTAAAAAAACATTAAAAAATAATAAATAAGCCCCATTAACATTTCATATAATAATAGTTTGGTGATGATGAACTCCTTTATTTTTTTCTCATCTGGGAAGCTCTTTATCTGCCTTTTGATTCTAAATGATAGCTTTGCTGGGTAGAGCAATCTTGGCTGTAGGTCCCTGCTTTTCATTACTTTGAATATTTCTTGCCAATCCCTTAAAAATTTATTTTATTTTTTATAGTTCAATTTTTTAAAGATATTATTTGTTTATTTATTTATTTTATAGAGGGGAAAGGAGAGAGAAAGATAGGGAGAGAAACATTGATGTGCGAGAGATAAATTGGTTGCCTCTTGCACACCCACAACTGGGGATCTGCTCCACAGCCCAGGCATATGCCCTGACCAGGAATCGAACCTGTGATCTTTCAGTTTGAAGGCCAGCGCTCAATCCACTGAGCCACACCAGCCAGAACTATAGTTCAATTTTAATTTAATTTATTTTTCAATATACTGTACTTTATTTCTTTTATTGAATTTACTGAGGTGACACTGGTTAATAAAACTATATAGGTTTCAGTTGTACAATTCTATAATCCATTGTCTGTATATTGTTTTTTGTGTTCACCCAAAGTCAGGTCTCCTTCCATGACCATTTATCCCTCCTATACCCCCTTCTACTTCCTCCTACCCCCTTTCTGTCTGGTAATCACCATACTATTGTCTGTGTCTATGAGCTGTTATTTTTTAAGAAGTTTTTTAAATTTATGTAGTACAAAGGAAAAATGGGGAAGTGAACAATTCTGTCTCCCTTTTCAAAAAAATTATGTTCTCAGGCTCTTAAAAGCCAACCCTGGCCAGTGTGGCTCAGTTGGTTGGAGCATCCTCCCATAAACTGGAAGGTTGTGGATTTGATTCCCAGTCAGGGCACATACCTAGGTTGCAGGTTGCGTCCCAAGTTGGGGCACATGGGAGAAGCAACAGATCAGTGTTTCTCTCTCACATCAATCTTTCCCTCTCTCTCTCCCTGTCTTCCTCTCTCTCTAAAATCAATAAGCATGTCCTTGGGTGAGGATTAAAAGAAAGGCAATAGGTCTGCTTACAGAGGAATAAAAGCACATTTTTGGACTAAGTTACTTGACTTAAGATTTGGGGAAAACAGTGGGTGGCAGTGTGGTGTGGTAGAGCGCTGGCTTTAGAGTTGAGCCGTTTGTGCTTCACATTATGGTTCTGACACTTGCTATCTGGGAGACCTCAGACGAGTCGCTTGATTTTTCTGACCCTGGGTTTTGCCATCTGCAAAATGATGATAAGGCTTGAGGCCTTCAGTCCCCACCCCTCCTTTGTGTGAGCAAGCAAGAGGGCCACTCATAGGTTCCTTAACACTGCCTCTCACGCTGGCAGCTGTCTGTCACTCACTCCCAGGGGCTTTCTTCAGAACATTCTCAAATTGCCTCCCTCCCACTCCCCTCAGCAGTCACGCCCTTATCTCACAGTCATCTTCTGGTGTCACAATGCTTAACTTCCTTTCACACTCTCCCTGTCTCATGAGGCCCCATCTCTCATGACCCCTCAACTCTCATAGTTCCCTGTACTCCTAAACTTTCTCAGTTCTCTCCTGTCTTCTTCCAAATCCCCCCACACTGAAACCACCTTGCACAAAAAGCATTGCCTTCTCTACCTTCTCTACTGTTCATAAATCTGTTCCTTGGCACAATCCTGCCCTCACACAATTTCTGTCTGTCTTTCTCCTTCCCTCCCCTTTCTGTCCCTCACTTCCCCTGTCTTTCTGCCTCTCCTGCCTAGGAGATGAAAGAAAACTTTGAAACTTGCTGTCACACCTGCTTTCGTTTTCTCACATCTTCATTTGCTGGCACATCTGATAACTCTGTGACACTGTCAGATCTGCTCTCCCTTGGTGATGCCAGCCCACCAGCTCTTCTCTTACCCTCTTGGACACCCACTGCCCATTTGTGCTCTCTATGCCCCACATGCTCCCACTGTGTTGCACGCCCCACCGTTGCCTCCCCTTTCTCTGGCATTCTCTCCCCGCCCCCGCTATGTCTCTGTCTCTTTCTGTCACCAATTATCTCTCTCTCTGTTACCTACCTCTGTCACTCACTCTCCCTCTTTGACACTCATTCTTTCTCATGCTCTCCCCCATTGTCCTTCTCTGTCACTTACC